ATCGGTAAAATCCTGATCAGTTAATTTAGAATTAAGTCCTGATACATTCCAGAAAACAAATGTTCGATTTTTAAATGTACAATCATCGACATCATCTGTCGTATCTACATGAGGCTTCCTACAATCACGCTCGGTTCTCGTCGCACCCCTAGTGGGTTGCTGTCCTGTCCCAGGCCTTAGCGCGAGAACTCAGAAGTCGTGGTCCTGTGTGTGAACCTCCCCGTCTATGTCCTTGTGAGGGTGATGTTCTGATGTTCTGGCTATCCCTTCTCTCCCGTCTGTGTGCTGTAGTTCTCTCTGGTGTCTCTTGGCTATCTCTCATCTCACTATCCTTCTTCACATCCTCGACAAGTTTGCCTCCTTTATAAAAAAACCTCTTATCTGGATTTTCACGTTGTAACCTGCCTAGCTCTTGTCGCTGGAAATATGTTAAGTCATTAGCCACACCATATCCCATTTCTCTCAGGGTATCCCTGAATCCAAGTGTTTGGATTTTATCATCCCAGTGTGCCATTTTCACTATAAGAGGGCGGGGTTTATTTGTTGTTTTGCTGGATATCCTGTGTGCACGTTCTATGTCTCTATCAGCAAGTTCCCCATATGCAGGATTCTTATTCCTGGCTCTATTAAAAATGTCTAGTATCTTTTCCTTGCACACTTTATAAGATTCTTCTACTCCCTCTGGTACCCCATATACAATCAAATTATTTCGTCTGCTCTGTCTTTCCTGATGTTCTACTCTAGACTCTAGCTCACTAATACTGTCAGACCAGTAATACAGTTCATCTACTTTGTTGGATACTTCGTCAACATCTAGTCTGAGAATAGCCTGTTCTTCTCTGTTCACACTGACTTCTGTTCTTAGTTCACATACCTCTGCCTTGATCGAATGAACTTCTTCTCTCAAAGATCGTATGTCTCTTGATAGCCTGTCTTCAGATTCCTTAATCTGATTTATAATGGCTGATTCCAATCCTGCGAAGTCCCCACCAGTAGGTCCCGGGTTCAATTCTGTCACCGGCAACCAGTAGCAGTGAAACAAACGGGTGTCTCCTAACTTTTTGGATACTGTCCAGTTTTGGGTCTGTAAACAAGGTTGCCTTGTCCTGTACATTCATATATATCTCATGAAACACGTTGGCGGCACAAAATCCAATGTAGACATCGCATATTCCATAGATGATGCAGTGATCGATCCCACAGTCCATATTGTGACAAGAGCAGTTGTACACAACAAAATCCTGTACGCCATTGTTGTGCCCCCCGTCCAGTCTGACACAGGGGTGTAGGGGAAAACAACAAAATATCAACAAAGCCCTGTCCAACAAAAATACCTCTCTGTCCTGAAGATTGCGACATAAGTTCTAGCTCAACCAAAACATTAAGAAAACAACAGGGGACTCAATGGGCATCCCTGTCTGACACCACTTATATTATCAAAAAACAATGTAATTTCATAATTAGATAACTTAACGGCTGATTAACTTTGGAGGGTGCATATCCATAGTACATGGAGGTATGCGTTAACAGCCATGTTACATATTGAGTACTCACAGTCATGTATGATGCCTACCACGCACAGGAACAACATATTCCGTAGTACTTGCACCATGGCGGCCGATGTTCCACGTCAGCACCGTTTCTTTTCAATCAAGTGGAGAGGCAGTTGGTAGCTGAAGGCTCTTCGCTTACTCAACCAACAGTCCCTGACGAAACGTGTGTCAACACATATATATTATATAGAGGATAATGTGGCGCTAAAAAAAGAAGACTGGTGGCTATTGTCTCAAAATTGATTTCATGCACTTAGTGATCGATCAGCCATAACAGCTCGCGAAACTCAGACCAGTTTACTACTACTACGGGGGTAATGTAGTGGTTAAAGCGTTCGCTCGTCACGCCGAAGACCCAGGTTCGATTCCAGACTGGAGTACAATGTGTTAAGCCCATTTCTGGTATCTCCCGCCGTGATATTGCTGGAATAAAGCTTAAAGCGCTTTAAAAGCAAACTCACTCACTACCAACACCACAACTACTACTACTACTACTTATAGTAACAACAACAGTAGTATTTGTACAACCTCAGTTTTTATTCACTCGTATAAATTCGCAGAAATGCAATATACATTGACTAGCAGAAAATGCCTATCAATATACATTTGATCACATGCCTCTAATGTGCAACCCGTGACGATCCGGGTTAGGACTGGACTTCAGTAACCTGCTTGTTGTAAGAAGCAACGAACGGGATCAGGTGGTCATGCTGTTTGGTTCATGCATGTCATCGTATCCCAGTTGCATAGATCGATGCTCATGGTGTATATCACAGTGTCTGGTGTATTGTCGATTGTTTACACACCACCGTGACATTGCTGCAATATTGCTTCGTGCGGCATTAAACAACAAACAAAATGATTTGTAACCTGCATTGTATGAAGAAAGGCGTTCCTTGTTTTTCTATGATGAATTCATAATCAGTGTTCTGTAATCACGGGGTGCGTTGCAAAGCACCAACCGCTTGCAAGCGATGTAAAGCGATTCGCCTTACAACAGTGCACTTACTTTCAGCTGCTTGTAAGAGAAACAATCACTGGCTGAGGTCGCTTCTTTCTCAAACCGAAATGGCGGCTGACTTTGACAGCGGAACAAGAAATTCTTGACTGCATCAACGGGGAAATGATCAAAGGCAGCTAACACCCCGTCTGCTCCACATCTTCAAAGTAGTCATAAATTTCATCTGTTCGTCATCGAGCCATTTGTATTACGTTCTTCATTAAGGCAAGGCAACCAAGTGGTAGTTGCCCCTCCATTTTGGAAGAGTGGGCAAGCACTTGGAACTGTTGCAGATCCCGGGATGAACGATAAATTTGCTTTCTCTAAGCGATTCGTGACTTGCAACGTGCCCTAGGGCTTCTATTGATTCCGGGTAAGAATATAACACCCCAGTAACCTATGCAGGATGTAAGAGACAACCAACGGTATGGGGTTGTAGGGCTCGCTGACTTGGCTGGTATCCTGATTAGAAACAACACCTGTAGGCCAGGTTACTTTGAAAGCTCGATCTGGCACAGGCAGCCATTTACATTTCAAAAGCTGCGCTTTGGTCTGTTGTAATGCCGTTAAGTCAGTATAAAATACTGTGTGTGCGTTTGTGTGTGTGTGCGTGCGTACTCAGTGGGAGTAATATAGGTGAAGGCTTAAAAACATATTTCATGGTACACACGTTTTTTTATAATTTTTTAAATTATAGAAATTGCACTGCAAAGATACACTTTAAAATCAAGTGGAAAAATGGAACAATGAACGCCAGCATCTAATTTCACAAGACCTGGACAGTCCAATAGGTTAACAGTTCGATATACATTTAGTCCGTCGACCTTAATAGACAATGTTTTCAATTGTTTAAACATGTCTTATGGACGTATAATTCCTGCTGCATGTAAACGCACTTTCCCTTTAAGCAAGAAGAACATACACAGACAATTTCATTTTGAAATTTACACTGTTTCTTTTTAGGCTGATTAACTGAAGAGGTAGTCACGTGGTCGGACATTTGGAGTTCACACACCTGTGAACGGACAAATGAAGTTCACACGATGTGAACAATTTTTTGTGTGAAATTGATCATGTGAACGGGAATACTTTCCAGGATTTCACTGAATTCTCGATCGGGGTTTATGATCAACTCGTTTTTTCTGTTTTCTTTTTAATTCCTGTATTTATCAGCAATATAATTAATTGAGTATTTTTGTCTGGTCTTGTAACATTTCATCTGACTTATAAATAAATGCTTTGGTTCTGGTGTTTGATGTCGTCTAGCTGCTACATGAAACAAAATGGATTGTCCTTACGGTGATTTGGATATGGAATGGCTATCTTTCAATACTAGTAACTCAAGTGAAGAAAATTAATTCTGTAAAATTACCGAGGTGAACGAAATTGATTTATTGAGCGATATTGACTTTGATGCCTTGTTTTCGGAAATGACAGGAATCTAGCACGCATGAAAACAAAGTCGTACCCTGCTCAGATGTGGCCGCTGACAGAGCAAACGCGACTGCTCCTGATCAATCACAAACTAAAACCCGATTCACTATCGCATTGCGTAAAAATAATCTAGGATTTTGAGAAACCATGGACGAGAAGCGGCGGCACACGAGGAGAGAAATGAAGCTGACATCAGGTCATACAGTAGGTCCATCTCAAGAAACACCAGCTAAGCAAAGTATTACAGCACACACGACAAATCCCAAACTCCAAATATAACACACCCTGACGTTGAAAATTAACACAAAACACACAAGTTTCAGAGCACTCGGTTCAATCCCCAACAGCCCTTTCCGCATCGTCCGAATTGGTTTGCAATTATCTAAACAAAAGGAACACTTTCATAAATCGGCGAAATTCCCAATTTGCTAGTGCCATGAGAAGGTTCACGCGTCAGGGTGTTTTCCGTAACTGCTCCATAAACGTCATTTAACAGCAGTAAGTATAAATTTCATCCTCATGCACACGTTCGACTCAAAATGCACCTCTTTACAAACTTATATGACGTCATACATAAATCCGCGCTTGAAGGTTGACCTCGCCTCGGTGCATCGAGGCCATGTTTAAATTTTTGTTCACCTTGCTGTAACCTAATAATATTTTTAAGATTTGATTTATCCCAAATATTGTTTGTACATTTGTTTGGAGAATGAACTTATGTTGCCATATTTCTCGATTATGTTGTATATATTTAAAGAACTATTTTTCTTTGCGTAACTGAGCATGAGTGGGGAAAGGTATGTGACCGAGAGCCGGCAAATACCGACAAAATAACATTGTCGCAATGTTCCTCGGCGAAACAAGAGGACGTGTAAGCAAATATTGTTACGATATTATTCGGCAAGACCAGTAAAGTACAAAGTATGAAATTATAAGCTCGGAGGTTCACAGTTTAACCAGCGCTTTTAAATCGTTCACACTTCAATGAACCCATCCAAACTGACGTTGAATTCTTAAATAATCAGAATACTTTATTTACAAGATTCATAAATGTGAAGCTGTTCAGCTTAAATCCGATGAACAAGAACTATTTAAGATATATTCTACCCCAAGGAGACTTGCACATCAATGCGATTGAATAGATTGTTGTCACTCTTATGATGAATCAAATGCTGTACCTGCATAGTGCATGCTAATGTTAAGTATGGTCAGTGAAATACATAATGAATATTCATGGCACTAGTGTGTTATGTCAAACTGAGATTAAGAGGCAAAATATATACTCTCATCAAACGTATGTGTGTACTTTAGTCTAAAACTCGATCGTGCTGATTTGTTCCTCGTTGTGGAGTTGAGGGATGACATTGTCCATGTACCAGTTGACCCAGATGGGGACGCCGTCTTTGCCAGGGGTGTGGAGCCAGGCTGATACTGAGACGACAAGCTGTAGAGCTGTCTGACTGGCCACAGTAGAGGATGCGCCCAGCGGGGAGGGACACAGTCCACATAGCAGGAGGCCAGCACACCGTTGACGACTATGGTTCCAGACATGGTAAAAGGAGCGAACGCACCGATCTCTGTTGACGTGGACAACCCTGTCACAACCTCCTCCTCAAAAAGTGTCTTCTCGTGGTTGTAGATGAGCACACGATCTGCTAACTTAACCTGAGCTGCAGGCACTGTGTGTTTTGTTCCACCAGACACCAAGTAGACGTGATGATCATGTGACGATTGTATGTGATGCTTTGTAGTCGAGATGTTGATGTAGTTGTTCATTCTATACTCATCGGAATGGATAATCAAGTACACCTCAGAATAATCAATTTTCCCATTGTCAGTTAAGGACAGGACCCTATCACCAACACGAACATTCTTCATTTTTATTGTCTGACCATCTTCAAGTATCAATGTAGCACCACCAGGAAAGCAGCTATAGGCTTCTTCCTTTGCTTTTTGTGCTAGTCTTTCGGCGACGATTCTTTCTATTTCTTCTTCTGTGTCCTTCTCAATTCTCATTTTGTCTTTAGCTTTCTCTTCTTCCCGTATTTGTGCCGCCGTTTCTAAAAGATCATTTGTATACTTCTGACCTATGTTTAGCTGATCGATGATGACTGTAAGTTCTGCAACTTCGTTGCGTAATTTGCCTTTATCAGATTCCGTGTTGTCAAAAAGAACATATCTCTTGTTACATTCACTTAAAAGCTTTACCAAACTGCCATTTTGTTCATTGATGTAATCATCGATCTTCAGACCGCTCTTCCCGTGGTTTCTGTAAAAGCTGTCAGCATGTGTGAACACAACTATTGTGTGACTCATCAGAACATGTTCACCAAACAGCTTCTTCAGCATGTGTATAGTCATATATTCTTCAGGTGTCATGCGCGCCTGTATGCTCAACACTAAGAGAAATGCATGTACTCCATCAGAGCTCTTTGGAATGGCAGATGCAATTTCCTGCAGCGTTTCTTCCAGTGTGTCCTCATTGACGGAGGTATCCATGATGCCAGGTGTATCGATCAGACATATCTCTCGCCCCCCAACTACTCCACATTCTTTTTGGCATTTAGTTGTTACCAGATTCGATGACATTTTTGAAAGAAATAAGTCTTGTCCCAAAATGGAATTCGCAGTTGCACTTTTGCCATGTCCTTTCTTCCCGATCAAGACGAGATCTAATCTGCTTCCTTGTGGAAGATCCTTAAATGCAGTACTAGTTCCATTCTGAATGAGAGAACACATGAAAACACCATGAAAATACATTGGTAGACTGTTGCGTGAACAATACCGATGTCAGTATGGACAAAGCAAGGTCTACCGATGTGAACCTGCTTAGTTTTACATGACAGACTGGTGACGTTATTCCATCAGTTAAAGGCTCATAAGGGCGGTCGGGTAGCCTAGTGGTTAAAGCGTTCGCTCGTCACACCGAAGACCCGGGTTCGATTCCCGACATGGGTACAATGTGTGAAGCCCATTTCTGGTGTCCCCTGCCGTGATATTGCTGGAATATTGCTAAAAGCGGCGTAAAACCATACTCACTCACTCACTAAAGGCTCATAAGGTTTATCTGCCCAAAATATTGCCTAAATGGGCATAAATGTTTGTCATTGCATTTGCTTCAAAGATGGTCACATGCTATTCACACACAAAGTGTAAGTATATATTTTTCAAGAACGAAGAGATAAAATATGAAACACCTCTCCCTTTTCATTTTTGAAGTTGCAAAACCATTATGTTTCAGTGATTGATAATTACATACAAATGATATAGTCGGACGCGTACAATCGACTCTGCTTTCAGAAGAAATTTCTGTAATATGTAAAGGGTTTTGTTGCATCTGTTTACAATCACCTTTTGCAATGATTGGTTGGTTGGTTTGTTGTTTAACGCCACACTCAGCACTATTTCAGCGATATGATGCTAGTCTGTAAATAATCGAGTATGGAACAGACAATTCAGTTATTGACATCATGAGCATTGATCCACGCAATTTGGATACGATGACATGCATCAACAAAGTCAGCGATCCTGACCATCCGATCCTGTTAGTCGCCTTTTACCACAAGCATAGTTGCCTTTGACGGCAAGGATGAATTCCTGAAGACATATTCTACCCCAGATCTTCACCGGTCCCTTTTGCAATGAATTGTAAAACAAGTATTTTGATAACTCATCTAAGTCTTAACATCTAAAATATAGAGATACTTGACAAGAGATGATGGTTATATATGTGTCAAAGTATATATTACGTAATTATGGACCCACAACCAAGACACATACCTGGAGACTAAGTTGTTGCTCTAATGCAACAACCTCCTGCATGAAGTTCCCTAGCCTTCTGTTTTCCTCATACATGTCAAAGGACTGTTTTGTCTGAGATGAACCTTCGCTTTTTGTTACATCAAATTTTGATATGACGTCATTGAAAACTGTAATTACACCATCGATGCGGTCTTGTAGTTGGAGCAATTTTTGTTCTTGTTGATTATTCAAACTAGTATAATTTATCCCATCAACCAGTCTGTGTAGTCTCATCCGAGCCTGAAGGACGTCATCATACTGATACTCCAGGCGAGACAGCTGGACGTCCAGGCTCTTGTCCTTCAGCACTTGCGGCAGTTGGGGATCCAGGACACTAAGTGCGACCAGCTCACACATGACAGGTACACCTTTTCCGCCATTCAACTTCATCACTTCACCCTTGAAGTTGTCCAGTGCATCAAGCATGCCGCTTACGTTTGTTGGCTTTTTCATATTTATTTCGTTTGAATAATATGCCATTTCAATTCTTGAGTTAGATTTCAAATCTTCCTCAAGTCTTTTAAAATTGTTTCTAGTGGCCATGTCAACTATTCCCCATTCACTGAGACGAGCATCAACTGTTGCTTTGATTTCCTCAAAGTGACGAGAGTCAGATCCCACAATCCTGATCCTGACAATCATGTCTCCTCCATATGTCAGACTGCTAATGTAATGGGTTCCCATTTGGTTTTCATTCAAGCCAGGCTTCTTCTCCTTCTCAGTCAGGATTGTAGTTAACTAGGGGAAAAGGTGACAGAAGCATGATATTGTATTGTTTAATAATCAAAAGGCCAAGCGAGTAGGGTGTACTTTGAGATAACACTAGATGGCCGACTTTGCTGCTATGGTTTTATGTCTCATAATTTGATGTTCACACCCTCGTCCTAGTCTAAATATGGTTCAGACCTAATGCTAACATTTGACAAGCGATTTATGCAAACACGACATGCATCAACCAAGTCAGCAAGCCTGACCACCCGATCCCGTTAGTCGACTCTTACGACCAGCTTGGGTTTTAAGATCAATTCTAACGGGTTTTAAGCAACCAATGTAAGCCTGTATATACATACTGTTTCCACATGTACTGCAACCAGAATGTCCAGTGTGTTTACTTGAGATCTGTCCTCTCTCAAATATGACCATATCCCGTCCAGGGTCAAAATTCCGGCCTTGACATTGAGAGAAATGTACCGGCTGACATCGAGAACGTTCCTGACATCCGCACTCTTCTGTATGACGGAGTAGCGAATTGTGTTCTGATGTGACTCTACTGTCTGTGGCTTAGCCCCATCCGTGAAGATGTCAAGCCCGAGAGAGAATGTGCGCAGGTCGTATATTCTACCAAGACTCATGCCCCGCTGGTAGGGCACATGCATGCCATTTGCCAGGATTTCTGTTGAGTAAACTCAACATATTTAACACGGGAAAATGCCCCATGAAGCCATTTGTCCGTAGGCATGTTATGTTTATATTGTTTGTTTTTTAACGCCGCACTCAGCACTATTCCAGCTATATGACGGTGGTCTGTAAATAATCGAGTCTGAACAAGATAACCCAGTGATTGACATTATGAACATCGATCCACGCAATTGGGATGCAATGACATGCATCAACCAAGTCAGCAAGTCTGACCACCCGAACCCGTTAGTCGCCTCTTACGACAAGCATAGTCGCTTTTTACGGCAAGCGTGGGTTGCTGAAGACCTATTCTACCCCGGATCTTCACGGGTCTATCATTATGGTGCATTCCTTCAATTTGTCTTTTGCGCATTAATGATTCATTTCCCCATACCAAGCGCTGTTTCTCTATAACTAACATTGCGGAATAATAATTTCACACCAGTTGTTCGGTATAATAGCTATCTTGACAGATTCAGTATTCTCGAATGAGTGAGTCAGTTTGGTTTTACGCCGCTTTGAGCAATATTCCAGCAACATCATCGGGGAATACCAGAAATTGGCTTCACACATTGTACCCATGTGGGGGATCGAACCCTGCTCTTCAACGTGACGAGCGAACACGTTTACCACTTGGCTGCTCCACCTCCCCTAGTTTACGCGAGGCCATATCTTTAGCAGTCAGCAGTAGTTTTTAATATTGCCATGGATACAGTATCGAGGATAATGACGGATTATCACACGAGCCAAGACATGCGCGAAAGAACACTATTGCTGTGTCCAGCAAATGTCTCATTGAATCCCTGTCTCAAAGAATAACCCTGATGTTTTCATTGATGTCAGTACAACGTTGGACACCGATATCCCACACTACACACAGAAATCCATTCCTTAAGCAATGGGACATTTGTTACTGAACATGTTGACCGTAGATTTGTCCAGTTGCATATCTGTGTTAAAGGTTCGGGAGAATTTGTCAAAAATGAAAGAAAAGGCCACCTGAAGTGTACTGAGAAAACAGTATGTGAAATAATGGAATACCACATCGATAACACACTGACTTCTACATTGACTTCCACACTGACTTCCACGCTGACTTCAACACTGTCTTCCACATTGGCTTCCACACTGACTTCCACACAGAGTTCCACACTGAGTTCTTACATGACTTTCACACTGACTTAACCACCTGAACTAGGAATAAAGATGGACAGTGAAACATCCTCATTTAGTTATTTGCACAAAAACCAAAATACTTTCCACAAGACTATTTGACGAGAGGGTTGACTTCAAGTTTCCAAGGTCAACTTTCCCTTCATGTCGAGCAATATTCCATATTATGCAACCTTTGATATCTACATTTCACAACTTTTAAGATACACTCAAGCATGCTCTATTAAGGAATATTACAAAACGCTTTATGTACAACATGAGGAGGACATTTCAAAATGTGACTGACATTTCTGGTGCAATACTCTGTTTTGACGTGGGCCATGTCTTCCCGCAAGAAGCAAACACACAGAGATACGCACGGACAAACACACAGAGACACGCACGGACAAACACACAGATACACGCACGGACAAACACACAGAGACACGCACGGACAAACACACAGAGACACGCACGGACAAACACACAGAGACACACACGGACAAACACACGGAGACACACACGGACAAACACACAGAGACACGCACGGACAAACACACAGAGACACGCACGGACAAACACACAGAGACACGCACGGACAAACACACAGAGACACGCACGGACAAACACACAGAGATACGCACGGACAAACACACAGAGACACACACGGACAAACGCACAGAGACGCGCACGGACAAACACACAGAGACATGCACGGACAAACACACAGAGACACGCACGGAAAAACACACAGAGACACGCACGGACAAACACACAGAGACACACACGGACAAACGCACAGAGACACGCACGGACAAACACACAGAGGCATGCACGGACAAACACACAGAGAAACACACGGACAAACACACAGAGACACGCACGGACAAACACACAGAGACATGCACGGACAAACACACAGAGACACGCACGGACAAACACACAGAGACAGGCACGGACAAACACACATAGATGGGCACGGACAAACACTCAGAGAGATGCACGGACAAACACACAGAGACGGGCACGGACAAACACACAGAGACACGCACGGACAAACACACAGAGACACGCACGGACAAACACACAGATACATGCACGGACAAACACACAAAGACATGCACGGACAAACACACAGAGACACGCACGGACAAACACACAGAGACATGCACGGACAAACACACAGAGACACGCACGGACAAACACACAGAGTCACGCACCGACAAACACACAGAGACACGCACGGACAAACACACAGAGACACGCACGGACAAACACACAGAGACACGCACGGACAAACACACAGAGACACGCACGGACAAACACAGAGACATGCACGGACAATCACACAGAGACACGCACGGACAAACACACAGAGACAAACACTTGGTGTTTACAAAACAACATTTTAGAACCTTGTCAACCATCCTTCTAAAGCATGCAACAATTGAGTACTCACTCTGATGTATGCTTGTGTCGAGTCCTAACATATATAAGAACAGCGTGGTCTTTAGAACCAGCAGCATGATGGTGATTCCCTAGGAACACAGGCAAAATGCGGTTGGCTACTGTACTTCAGCCTCTTATGTATCAGGCACATTTATTGATCAACTACGATCACTATGGTCGATTCACATACGAGCGTGCCTGGCGCTTAAAATAGCCGACATTACGTATCGGGAAATCCACTGTTGACTTGTCAAGGCATGTGTTCTGTGCACTAACGTTCTGAAAATAATGACCCGCCTTTGTAAGGCCTCTGTATATATATATATATATATAATTTGTTTTTGGCCCTCACCAAGAGACTGTCATATCTTTGGCTACCCACCCCTGATTTTCTCTGCCCCAACCAAACCCCTGGTCCCCGCGCCCCAAATGATAAATATTATTCACATTAGACGCATTTATATGAAACACTTTGTAAAGCATACGGTCACGGTTCCTGTATGGTTGCCAGCAACATCTGTTGTGTGTAATCGATACATGGTGAGTTGTCATGCATGCCTAATAATGATCTTTCTCGGTTCTGAGAAAGAATTACGCATAACGAAAGTAGAATTGCATGGAGTGTTTGACAACTACCTTTCAGTGAACACGAATCGATTAAGATGTTGTCATGCAAATAGTTTTGAAGATATTGTGCACGATTCAGTTTAGAACGTGTCGTGATAACCAAGTTCATAATTAATATTTGTTAACTGCTGTTACATTGATTGTCAGCTCAGTAAACAGGTTCATATTGTATGCTTGTACAGTGGGTGGAAACACACAGCATTACAACGCTCACTGTCTGGTGTCACCATGACATTTCATTCACAATCATTCTGTAAATGCTATAAAGTCGATAATGACGGCACTATTTGAAGATTTGAAGTGTAAGCATAACAAATTCCTGTTGAGTTTTTTAAAATAAATCATTGAAAAACAGTTTATCTTCATTACAATGACATATGATACAGAAAATTGTTTCATTTGAGCACACATTCGATGATACTAGCATGATATATATTTGTTTGTTTGTTGTTTAACGCCGCACTATTCCAGCTAGCATGATATATAACATGGCATTGTATTAATATAGCATGATATTAACGCGGTATACAATAAGCATGATAATATATAACATAGTATCATATACACATCAACGAGTTGAGGCATTTTGCATGTGCGATAGAGCAAACCTAGAGACGGTCATATCACAGTGGGCAAATGATAATGCCCTGAAAAATAGCGTTACCGTTTTTATAGCTAAAATGGACAGAATTTGTTATCGAATAAAAATAAACAATATCGGTTTTGAAACATTTAGTGCAATCAACACAAATGTCACTGACCCACCTTTACAGATATGGAAAACGTCATAGAAAAAAATATGACGTCACTATTGTATGTGACGTCACCTATCCCTATAACAACGGGCGTGATAATGGCCCATCGTCAAACAATATGAGGGGATTATCAAGTTACAGTGCCCCGATCATTTCTGATAACATGCGGACGGTTTAATGATAAGTCTATCCATTTTAGCTACAATACTCGTCGATTTTAATGGGCCATCGATATCAGCCCGGGTGGTAAGAAATTGATGTTACGTCCCTTAGTGCGTCGTCTGCTCGTCTAATTGGCTAGCTTCCAAACAAGGTGAAAATGTATTGCATTCACTTGCAAATAAATTGTACTGTCTTCCCCAAACGTGATTTAGGTTCTAGCAGTCCTCAGTTTACCGATCCAACACTGAGGCACAGTCTTGTAAAATATTGGACAAAATTGAGATCCAAGATTTATAAGTTAATTACTTCTGCGCACGCCAGTGTGCATGGATGTATTTGGTAAAAAGCTTCAACAAAACAAAACAAAGGCATTACCCCTTTTGCAATTAGGAAAACACCAATGTACGTGGGTACTTATACTACCATGTGGTGGACTTCATATAAGTCCGAATCATCCTAGCATAGCATAAATACTGAAAGAAGCGCCAGAGCTTCAGTGAACATCTATAAAAACTATGTGGTGATTTCAAGTGCGCATCATAAAATTGACACGTGGTTTCTGTTACTACATGACACTAGAATTTTCACATACTGAATAAACACAAAATATAACATAAGTTACATCCAAAACATATCTAAAAGGTTCTTGACGATATAATTAATAAACTTACACTATGGATGGCTGAAGTTCGACTTGATATAGCATGCAATGCTAAAAAACAATTTGGGGAACCCACGGGACCAATGTCGCTGTTGCGACCGACGAACGTTCTAAAACTAGCACTTCCGGTCCTAAGCGAAGCGCATGATTGAGTACCACTAAATAATAAATCACTGTTACTTGTAACGGCACATAAATACTGTTTACAATAGATTTATGGTGTATGATAAAAAGGTAACCCTTGACCCCATATGGGAACAGTGTCCTCCTCAGAACCAACAGCATGATTTCCTTCGAACACAGGCACAATGTAGTTACTGTACTTCAGCCTCTAATATATCAAGGCACATTTGCTGATCTAACGAGTAGTCATATCATGTTTTATCATACCATATTAATATCATACCATGTAATTACAAAGCTTAGATGTGATTACCCACCTGAACAGAAAATACAGGAGACCAGTGAGCAGTATCTCAGCTCAAACATTTCGGGTAGTGCTGTTGCAGATATTGTCTGCTCTACGTAAATAAGACTAATCATTGTCCTTTGAAAAGATCACATTTCATGTCAGTTGTGAAAAATGACACTTTCAGAAGTAAATCAACTTCTCCTTCGTGTATGCTAATGTCTACGTGGCAAGAATGGATCTTTATGAAATCTAATATCTACTGGTTGTATATACTATGACCACGTCATCTGAGGTATTTAATTATATAATAGAATTGATAAATATTCCTGTAGATAATAACATGGCTTAATATGGCCGTGCCACATATACTTGAAATAGACGAGGCACTTAAAACTGCATATACATTAGCAGTACGACATGGACCATATGTGTCTCTTGCTGTAGCGCGACAAAATTATCTCAAAACTTGAAAAGACCCATCCAGGATAATTCGAATACATTTAATCAACTGCTACTGTTGGGCAGTACGTACGGTAAGTGAACATGTCTCCTACATACTGATCACGTGGGCTGTGACAGTGGCTCCTACATATTGATCACGTGGGCTGTGGAAGTGGCTGCTACATACTGATCACGTGGGCTGTGAAAGTGGCTGCTACATACTGATCACGTGGGCTGTGAAAGTGGCTGCTACATACTGATCACGTGGGCTGTGGAAGTGGCTGCTACATACTGATCACGTGGGCTGTGAAAGTGGCTGCTACATACTGATCACGTGGGCTGTGGAAGTGGCTGCTACATACTGATCACGTGGGCTGTGAAAGTGGCTCCTACATATTGATCACGTGGGCTGTGGAAGTGGCTCCTACATACTGATCACGTGGGCTGTGGAAGTGGCTGCTACATACTGATCACGTGGGCTGTGGAAGTGGCTGCTACATACTGATCACGTGGGCTGTGGAAGTGGCTGCTACATACTGATCACGTGGGCTGTGGAAGTGGCTGCTACATACTGATCACGTGGGCTGTGAAAGTGGCTGCTACATACTGATCACGTGGGCTGTGAAAGTGGCTGCTACATACTGATCACGTGGGCTGTGGAAGTGGCTGCTACATACTGATCACGTGGGCTGTGGTAGTGATTCCTACATACTGATCACGTGGGCTGTGAAAGTGGCTGCTACATACTGATCACGTGGGCTGTGGAAGTGGCTGCTACATACTGATCACGTGGGCTGTGGAAGTGGCTCCTACATACTGATCACGTGGGCTGTGGAAGTGGCTGCTACATACTGATCACGTGGGCTGTGAAAGTGGCTGCTACATACTGATCACGTGGGCTGTGAAAGTGGCTGCTACATACTGATCACGTGGGCTGTGGAAGTGGCTGCTACATACTGATCACGTGGGCTGTGGAAGTGGCTGCTACATACTGATCACGTGGGCTGTGAAAGTGGCTGCTACATACTGATCACGTGGGCTGTGGAAGTGGCTGCTACATACTGATCACGTGGGCTGTGAAAGTGGCTCCTACATATTGATCACGTGGGCTGTGGAAGTGGCTCCTACATACTGATCACGTGGGCTGTGGAAGTGGCTGCTACATACTGATCACGTGGGCTGTGGAAGTGGCTGCTACATACTGATCACGTGGGCTGTGGAAGTGGCTGCTACATACTGATCACGTGGGCTGTGGAAGTGGCTGCTACATACTGATCACGTGGGCTGTGAAAGTGGCTGCTACATACTGATCACGTGGGCTGTGAAAGTGGCTGCTACATACTGATCACGTGGGCTGTGGAAGTGGCTGCTACATACTGATCACGTGGGCTGTGGTAGTGATTCCTACATACTGATCACGTGGGCTGTGAAAGTGGCTGCTACATACTGATCACGTGGGCTGTGGAAGTGGCTGCTACATACTGATCACGTGGGCTGTGGAAGTGGCTCCTACATACTGATCACGTGGGCTGTGGAAGTGGCTGCTACATACTGATCACGTGGGCTGTGGAAGTGGCTGCTACATACTGATCACGTGGGCTGTGGAAGTGGCTGCTACATACTGATCACGTGGGCTGTGGAAGTGGCTCCTACATATTGATCACGTGGGCTGTGAAAGTGGCTCCTACATACTGATCACGTGGGCTGTGGAAGTGGCTGCTACATACTGATCACGTGGGCTGTGGAAGTGGCTGCTACATACTGATCACGTGGGCTGTGACAGTGGCTCCTACATATTGATCACGTGGGCTGTGGAAGTGACTCCTACATACTGATCACGTGGGCTGTGAAAGTGGCTGCTACATACTGATCACGTGGGCTGTGGAAGTGGCTGCTACATACTGATCACGTGGGCTGTGACAGTGGCTCCTACATATTGATCACGTGGGCTGTGAAAGTGGCTCCTACATACTGATCACGTGGGCTGTGGAAGTGGCTGCTACATACTGATCACGTGGGCTGTGGAAGTGGCTGCTACATACTGATCACGTGGGCTGTGACAGTGGCTCCTACATATTGATCACGTGGGCTGTGGAAGTGACTCCTACATACTGATCACGTGGGCTGTGAAAGTGGCTGCTACATACTGATCACGTGGGCTGTGGAAGTGGCTGCTACATACTGATCACGTGGGCTGTGGAAGTGGCTGCTACATACTGATCACGTGGGCTGTGAAAGTGGCTGCTACATACTGATCACGTGGGCTGTGGAAGTGGCTGCTACATACTGATCACGTGGGCTGTGGTAGTGATTCCTACATACTGATCACGTGGGCTGTGGAAGTGGCTCCTACATACTGATCACGTGGGCTGTGGAAGTGGCTGCTACATACTGATCACGTGGGCTGTGACAGTGGCTCCTACATATTGATCACGTGGGCTGTGGAAGTGACTGCTACATACTGATCACGTGGGCTGTGGAAGTGGCTGCTACATACTGATCACGTGGGCTGTGGAAGTGGCTGCTACATACTGATCACGTGGGCTGTGGAAGTGGCTCCTACATACTGATCACGTGGGCTGTGGAAGTGGCTGCTACATACTGATCACGTGGGCTGTGGAAGTGGCTCCTACATACTGATCACGTGGGCTGTGGAAGTGGCTGCTACATACTGATCACGTGGGCTGTGGAAGTGGCTGCTACATACTGATCACGTGGGCCGTGAAAGTGGCTCCTACATACTGATCACGTGGGCTGTGGAAGTGGCTGCTACATACTGATCACGTGGGCTGTGGAAGTGGCTGCTACATACTGATCACGTGGGCTGTGGAAGTGGCTGCTACATACTGATCACGTGGGCTGTGGAAGTGGCTGCTACATACTGATCACGTGGGCTGTGAAAGTGGCTGCTACATACTGATCACGTGGGCTGTGGAAGTGACTCCTACATACTGATCACGTGGGCTGTGAAAGTGGCCACTACATACTGATCACGTGGGCTGTGGTAGTGATTCCTACATACTGATAACGTGGGCTGTGGAAGTGACTCTTACATACTGATCACGTGGGCTGTGAAAGTGGCTCCTACATACTGATCACGTGGTCTGTGGTAGTGATTCCTACTTACTGATAACGTGGGCTGTGGAAGTGACTCCTACATACTGATCACGTGGGCTGTGAAAGTGGCCACTACATACTGATCACGTGGGCTGTGACAATGGCTCCTACATATTGATCACGTGGGCTGTGAAAGTGGCTCCTACATATTGATCACGTGGGCTGTGAAAGTGACTCCTACATATTGATCACGTGGGCTTTGAAAGTGACTCCTACATATTGATCACGTGGGCAGTGAAAGTGACTCCTACATATTGATCACGTGGGCTGTGAAAGTGACTCCTACAAACTGATCACGTGGCCAGTGAACATGTCTCCTACATTCTCATCACGTGGCCAGTGGAGATGGTTTGTTTCCAGGTCTTCGTCGCTTGGCCAGAGTGCAGCTGTTTGGCGTCAGAATACTTACGTCTTTGAAAGGCATTTAGAAGTGATACACATCAGGAGGACCTATGGGCACCTCCCTATCTCCTCTCATCACTGAAATCTCCACGACATCCCTCGAAGAATCACCCCTCTCCACAGCACCATTCCATCCCCTCTGCTGGTACCGAAACGTAGACGACACATTCACCACCATAGCCCACCAGAACGACCCCACAGAGTTCCTTGAACATCTCAACGCCGAGCACCAGAGAATCCAGTTCACCATGAAAACCGACACTAATCAACATCTTCCTTTCCTAGACGTGTCCCCCCAAACCACAGATGATGCACTAAGAACATCAGTGTACCGCAAGCCAACACACACAAACCAGTACATCCACTACAACTCCTGCCACCATCTCCAGATAAAACAAGCCATCATCGCCACCCTCACCCGACGTGCCAAATCCATTTGTCACCCTGATGCCCTAAGCAGTGAACTGGACCATCTCAAGGAAACATTCACCTCCCTCAACAGCTATATCTGCCCACCAAGTCTCCAAAACCATCCGCAAGACCCTCAAGGACTCCAACCCCAGGCCCAAACCAGCTCCTTCGCCCATCAGAGTCACCATACCCTACCAAGGCCCTGTCACTCATCAGATTCCCGCTTCATCAAGAACAAAGCCTACATAGATGTCACCTTCTCTAGCGGCAAGTCCATCAAGACCCATCTACAAGCCAAGGGCAGAGACACAAGCACATAGCAATCTCATGCGCCCCTCATGGTTTATTCTCCCTGCAGTGTTTTATTGTACGATACAAAACTCCCAATCGTTATTTATTTCTTACCTAATGACACAATTGGCCCTTACCTTGGTGCCAGATGCCGTGCTACAGATGGAATGGTGGCATACATTTTTATACCTCCAAGCTCCAGCAATAACAAGCCACAGCATTAATACAACATAACATCACGCATTGGTATATAAGTCTCAGCGTTAGATATAGTCTCAGTACTGCCTGCTTTTCACAAGTGACTGACATGATGGAAGATACAGTGCCGATAATAGATTTCTCTGTCTATGGTTTGCAAATAACAAACAAGGAATCAGTGGCGGATTCGGATTTAGAAACACTTGCAGCCAACGTCTACCACGCATTGAGCACAGTCGGGTTTCTATACATTAAAAATCACGGATTGCCACAAGAGAAGGTAAGTGAGATAATGGTCATTGGTTGACACGAAGACCACGGGAACGGAGGAACATGTCCTTTAGAATCAGTGTTGAAGGGAAGTCGAGCTTGAACATAAATGCTCTACATAAATGACGGCGGTATGTAAATAATCGAGTCTGGACCAGACAATCCAGTGATTCACATCATGAGCATCGATCCACGCATATGGGGATACGATGACATGCATCAACCAAGTCAGCGAGCCTGACCACCCGATCCCGTTAGTCGCCTATAACGACAGGCATAGTCGCCTCTTATGACAAGCACGGGTTGCTGAAGATTTGGTTTACGACCCCATCAGTGCTGTATATTCATCACAATAGTACAGGGCCACTGGCATATTTTTTAATTAACTTTTACAAAGCCAATATGTTATTCGTGTTCAAAAGTTGTACATCCTTGAAATGGGATCCGAATAGTTAGAAAAGATTACAAATGAACATATTCACATGTTTATTCTTTTCCAAACCAAAACAGTCCTACCACCAAATCTGTCATTTTCAAAGACGGAGAAATGTACATATGTTGGTCTAATGCCTTGTGGTCAATGTTTTTGCTTTAAAATAATGTTTAAACATTCCATCACCATTATCTAGAACACAAATTTATTATTTATCAAAACACATATGTTTGTGGCAACCCTCTTATCATGGTATTTATATCAAGGTCTACCTCATACTACATACATGCTACGGCGTCTTCTGTTACATTTAGCTGAAGCTGACGTGGCCGTGTTCATAACGAATCTAAATGTATCCCCGGAGCCGTTTTAGCTAGGACCCCTGCTTTCATCATCCATACAGTAAACTACTTTTATAACGAACATGCTTATAACGAACTGGCGGATCTAGCGAAATGAGTTTTGATCCCGTCCATTTGCTGTATAGTTTCTGTTGACATGCTGTATGTATGCTCATAACGAACTACGGTTATAACGAACTAAAATTAGTGGCCCCTTGAGTTCGTTTAAACCGTAGTTCACTGTGAGTTATGACTTCAAGGCAAATACATACAACCACCATAACAAGACGCATCTTTATCCCTTCGAACAAATATAAAGGGACAGATGAAATCAGAATAACGGTTAATGGGTTTCCCGTATGCTAGGTGGTGTATCCGACTGTTAACATAACCTTCTTGTCGGTTCAAGGTAGCTCGACGTTTTATGAAAATATGGACTAGTTTTCGGCCCACCCCCCTTGTAATGTTGATCGAGCTTTTGGTTAAGTGTTAAAGAGTTTGGACGAGAGTTATACTAGTATCCCTTGGGGGAAAAAATGACATGCTGTCAGTTTGCAAACTGATTGTTTTAGTGGAATGTCTTGTGCAGTTGACACAGCCTGACAAACAAGAGTTTGCCACTAACGTGGCTATATCCCCTGCCCCTGTTGCAGAACTTATGACATAATTAAATCTAAACAAACCCTAACCTTTTCTAACCGAGGTGGAACTTGTCATGGAAAACGGTTTATGAGTTATGCTCCGGAAACAAACCCTACCCTGACAGAACCTTAGTCCATCTTGTTGCCATGTAAAATATCTAAAATTTCTATATAGCAAAAGGCACCAGTTCAGCTTGTACCTGACAGACCTGCAAAGTTTGATGATAAAATATTGAACGGTTTATGAGTTATGCTCCGGAAACAAAACGTGACGGACGGACGGACGGACGGACAGGGCCCGTTTCTATATCCCCCGTCAACTTCGTTGGGCGGGGGATACTAAGGGGATTAGATGTAAGTATATTAAGATACCTCAACCATTATTATTTTTATTATTGCTCTACGCAGCTGTTTGGAATATTTCATGTATATGACAGTGGCCTGTGTTGATAGGCGGAGAAAACAGTAGAGCCCGGGCTGAACCACCGACTTTCGACAGCCCTTCCCATGTAGCTGGAGCTGGGTGTCGAACCATCGCTGATCAGAGGTCAGAAGCTATAGGTTCCATCGTAGTACCTAAGCCAACTGGGCAAACGAGGCCCATCCTGGCCGTTGATATAGTGATTCTGTTTGCCTGAAGATATCATGTAGCGTTTGGCTAAATTAATTATGGTTTGAAAATGCTTTGTTTGTTTGTTATTAAACTCCGCGCTCAGCAATATTCCAGCTATATGACGGCGGTCTGTAAATCATCGAGTCCGGATCAGCCAATCTGGTGAATGGCATCATGAGCATCGATCCACTCAATTGGAATACGATGACATGCATCAACCAAGTCCGCGAGTCTGATCACCCGATCCCGTTAGTCGCCTCTCACGACAAGCATAGTCACTTTTTACGGAAGCATGGGTCGCTGAAGACCGATTGTAACCTCGATCTTCACAGGTCGGATATTCTATACTTTGTCATGCTATTATTCTGTGTATGACGTCATGACAATACCACTGAAACTGGTGAAAATTGAAATTGGACTCGCTCGGTGAGATACTTAGGCATAATTAACATTCGCAGGTGACATGCCAGTTAAATATTTATTGGAAATTGCGTATGGGCAGATGAATAATATTAGCATCATATCTCTTAATGCCATAGAAAATGATTATGCTGGGTAATAATATTAAACATATTTCTCACAAACATAAACTGTCAGGACATGTATCTGTTCATCTGTTACAAATTGTGTGATTAGTTTTTGCATCATATTTCTTAACACCATCGAAATTGGTCATGCAGGGTAATAATATTTAGTCATGAAGGGTAATAATATTTAGACATATTTCTTACAAAGAAAAAATCGTTGTTTCCAGAAATCGCCAAGCACAGACGATACATTATAATTATTACCATTTACAGATTAAAATAAAAAAAATGCAGCAAAGAGGGTTTGGGTGATCCTGGCACAGTCAGGCTTGTTAGGCTCATCATCAGTTCAGGGCCCTTGTCCACTCTACACGCAGCCTAGAAAGCGAATGGGACTTCGCCCAGGAACCGCTGCCTTGTCAAACCCTTCCCATTAATTGGACTCGCTCGGTGAGATACTTAGGCATAATTAACATTCGCAGGTGACATGCCAGTTAAATATTTATTGGAAATTGCGTATGGGCAGATGAATAATATTAGCATCATATCTCTTAATGCCATAGAAAATGATTATGCTGGGTAATAATATTAAACATATTTCTCACAAACATAAACTGTCAGGACATTTATCTGTTCATCTGTTACAAATTGTGATTAGTTTTTGCATCATATTTCTTAACACCATCGAAATTGGTCATGCAGGGTAATAATATTTAGACATATTTCTTACAAAAAAACCCCGTTGTTTCCAGAAATCGCCAAGCACAGACGATACATTATAATTATTACCATTTACAGATTAAAATAAAAAAAATGCAGCAAAGAGGGTTTGGGTGATCCTAGCACAGTCAGGCTTGTTAGGCTCATCATCAGTTCAGGGCCCTTGTCCACTCTACACGCAGCCTAGACAGCGAATGGGACTTCTCCTAGGAACCGCTGCCTTGTCAAACCCTTCCCGGAACTTTTCGGAGTATGTGAAGACTCCCCAACACTGCAGCCTTCTGCATTACCCAGATTGTCAGAAGGGCTATATTCCTGGTAGCAAACCCGGGTACTCTCCCAATGTCAGTCAGCAGATTGGGAGGTACCAAACCTAAGGCAACGAGAACAATGGGGAGTCGGACAACTTGGTACATAGGATGCAAGCGTGATATTTCGAAAGCGAGGTCTGAATATTTGCCGTTTTTCCCTGAATCTTGTCAATTACATTACTGTCAATAGGGACAGAAAATTTAAAGATTTAAATGATTTCATTGGATTTATCAAAAAGGACAAGATCCGGCATGTTGGCCTGGATACGTCTGAGACTGTAAACGGGCATATTCCAAAGAATTTTGTATTTATCATTTTCCATGACGCCCTCTACATATTCTGGGTCGTACCATGGGTGGACCTCAGTGTCAAAACCACAAGCATGGCGAAGACGGTAATACGATGACCGAGCTACACCATCATGTCGCGTAAGATACCGTGTCTGTGCTAAAGCTGGGCATCCACTGACAATGTGTTGGACAGGCTCATTAAATTCATTGCATAAGCTACATTTCATATTTACATGTTGATGCAAAATCACACATTGACGGTTTCGAGTGGGAAGTGACTGGCCTTGACCAGCAAACAGAAGCCTTCTGTTTAGCTTTCAGGCCAGCCGACTTCATCCAAGCAAATGACTCTGCAGGATTGCTGATCTTCTCAACACACTGCACATAAACTCGATGCAGTGGTCGTTCAGAAGCATGGCCTCTCTCTGGGCCGATTCGACATGGCACTTCGCCTGGTTGATACTCATTTCTGTACCGTCCAACAGTACAGAACCATGAACAGAATTAACACTGACATTGAAATTATGCCCCACATCCTTGGCTCGTTAGAAAAAACTACTATTATTATTATGGACATAAAGAATGAAGTCTCAAGTCTATATGTTGTATTTTAGTGTAATTATTTATGTATTTCGTGTATATCTTGAAACTGTCTATGTTTAAAGATCAAGTAAACTCAACATGGGAACTTTGCAGAATTTATTACTTTAGGGCATTCTTAATCAGAAATGCTTGACAAAAAATAAATTTGAAAATGGGAAATAGATAAAACGGACGATAAAATCGACAGGCGAAATCGTCCCCAAAGGACAAATTCCGCCTCTGAGGGGATTCCCCTTTATAGTCCTGGCAATCTAGGCCATTTTTTTACTCAACTTGGAACAAATTGCAACAGAATTTATTTTACCACAATGCATTTCTACAAGGTCTCAAGAACAACATACTAAAAGTCACAAGCAATCCTAGTTTATGAAATATGTCTAATTTGCATAATCCAATATGATCGCCAATTATCAATATATCTTCCATATTTCAGATGAGGTTCAATATTTTGATGAAAAAAGCATGTGTTGTATTGCGCAATAGCCATGTTATGTTTCTGAAAACATATTCACAACTAGAGAACGTTTTCTACTATTGACAAATGTGCAAACATTCAAGATGGCAGCCAATTACAAGATGGCCAACAAGTTTCCTAAATGTGTGTTTACACTGTTAAATCTTTTAACTATAAAACAGTGTGCTAGGACTTATATGCATATAATTTGGCACACTAACTCACTGAGGTATAGCTGATAGATAGGTATAGGTATAGATGATTTGAACTTCTACATTGGGGTAAACAGACCCAAGGATGCATGTAGAATACTCAATCATTTGCATTAATCCAATATAACCACTAAATATCAATATTTATCTGTTAAATGCTATGGTTTGGCGAGTTTAGATATCAATGTTGATTGTTATTGTCTGAATATACTTATTAATATCCCTCTCAGGATTTACCCAAACCAGTTGTTTCACAAGAAGTCATTGAGTTATCTCCCTTGTAGTTAATGTGCGGAAATTCAATATAACCACCAAATACCAATATTTGTATATAAATCTAATGCGTTTATACACTGCTCATTCCGTTACATGATTGTGTGATTCATGAACATTATTACGTTTGTTTGTTTTCTATTTGTTGTTTAACGCCGCACTCATCAATATTCCAGCTATATGACGTAAATAATCGAGTCTGGACCAGACAATGCAGTGATTCACATCATGAGCATCGACCAACGGAATTAGGATACGATGCCATGCATCAAGCAAGTCAGCGAGCCTGACCACCCAGTACTGTTAGTCGCCTCTCACGTCAAGCATTGTCGGTTTTTACGGCAAGCATGGGTTCTACCCTTGATCTTCACGGGTCACTACACACAGAGAGAAAATATATGTTCGGTCCCAATTCTTTGGGATTTCTTCGCACATCAAGCTTACTCTAGTCAGTGAAATACTGTTCAAAGTGGGGTTAAACGTTACCTCATTTATATTGAAGGTTGGACAGGTGGTTCTGACGCTGGTTTGTTTCATTAATAAATGTCTCATTCTAAAATTCATAAAAAAGAATTAATGAGAACTTCACATGAATTACCGTCTTCGGGCGAGGGCCGATCACATGACCGAGAAACCGACTTTCGTAAGCGTTTGAACGACACAGTTTGACGCCCATAGTGTTTCACGAGACTGTATTCTTGAAATGACACAAACACTGAGGGACTACTTCCACATTCCTGGTAAAACCCCTGAGAATTCCGAAGCACGAATACATACACAAGCGTAGTTTCTGATAGTTAAGACCCTTTGATCATGAACTCATGATTGTGCATATATTGAGAAATTCATGCGTTTGGTATTAAGATCGTTCACATATATCCAAGCTACGACCCATCCTAGTGAACAAAACGAAGCAATGCAGATCTAAACTATCATAGTATCGACTCGATCTGTGTCTAGACTGACAGTGACTGTCTACCGCAGTCTACGAATTTACCTTAGTATCTATTTGACACATTTCTACAATCATATTTCAATGATCGGCCAACTGATCAATGCCAACTAACACAAGTAATCGTCATAGGTTTATTAACAACTTCTGAAATCTGTCCCATCACGTTTATTGTGTCGGCCATTTTGGTGTCTTGTGCTTAATGTGAATGTATTACGACGCGCTGTAATTGTGACTGACTTACTGAGGTAGTTCTTAACAGACCTGACTCTACTAATAATGATATTATTTGAATATATATGTTGTAGACAAACTACAACATATGTCACCATACAACAATGTTACATACGCTCATGTCACTTCTTCTCTTGAGGAACTATTTCATTCCTCGATACAGCTGGTTGTTGCATGCCCAACAGTGAAAACATGCAGTCACTACATAAGATTGTGTATTGTTCTACATACTTCAAGGTAACAAAATAGTAATAGAATAAATATATAAAGATTCACTTTCACTTTGTCTGCGTTCTTTGGAATATGAACATTCAAAGAGTGAGGGCCTATCTATGCTGCTTCATCAAATGAACTCACACAAAGTCAATTCTTAAATGAAATACTAGTATATACATTTGGCAGCATATCACACTTCTATCACTCCAAATATATACAGTGTGTGCATAATCATGTTCAAGAATATTTTCGCTACTGCTCTGTATAATGTGAGTCCACAAATGTTAATATTCTTAAGCACTATACCTTACCTCAACAAAAATTACTGATAGATATATGGCACAGAAACATCTACAAACTGATTTTCCCATTTGTTTCAGATTGACGAGTTCTTTAGGATTAACAAAACTTTCTTTACCCAACCGACATCAGTAAAGACAACATGTGCATCTCGGACCGGTGGATTCCATGGATACCAAGCTTTTGCAATGGAACGGTATGAGTCACCACTCCAGGCTTACAAGATAGACACAATTTTATGGATATAACTTCTTTAATACTGTGAAAAGCGACGTTTCGGTATAGATCCTTATACCGTTATAAGGATCTATACCGAAACGTCGCTTTTTACCGTTATAAGGATCTATACCGAAACGTCGCTTTTCACAGTATTAAAGAAGTTGTAATCCATAAAATTGTGTCTATCTTGTCATCCGTCAACTTCTAAGTAATGCCTATCAAACAATTTACTCCAGGCTTAGTCTACAACAATGTACACATTCCCTTTAGACACGGCATTACAAAATCATGCCCACATCTGTGTTATTGTAGCGCTACACGTGGTATCGACTTTGTGTGGAGTGTCATGATATTACTTTCATAGATCTAACGTATATGATACTAAGATGCAGGCCTTGTGTCCCTATATTATGTTTCAAAGCCCCCAAAAGTGGAGGATATTTAATGTGAAACAGTGGAATGAAATACATACATAAGTTTGTTACGTGCATGATATACTATATGTATTATGGCATTTATTATCTACGTTCCACTTCATTGCCTCAAGTAACTCAAGGTTATTTAATGTTGAACCGTGGAAATGAACTGCATAGATGTGATGATATACGTGTACTATATATCCCATATACATTTGTTGTATCATATGCAGTCATGGACAGTGCATGGCCAAAGGGCATCCAACTAGAATTGGCAACACAGATCCTGCTCTGGTCAAGGTTGTTACATGGTTCGTTATTGTGACCAATACAAGGTAGCTGGTGTTTATGTTGTCACTTTAAACCATCCGGCATTTCAGAAGTGCTTTATATTCTGATGATTATGTCACTGTCATTAGGAACATAAATTTAATGCTGTAGATTGGATGTGTCAAAGCCGGGAGACCTCAAGGAATCTTTTAACTACAAGTCATATGAAGGATCTTTTGACATTGTAAGTACACAAAGAAGTCATGTTACCACATAAAACATGTAAATAGTAATAGCTTTCAATGTCATCAAATTGTATGTGTTTTTAAGTTTTTTTGATGGTGATCACATCATGTTCTCTGTTTAGAACGCATTCATGACAACTTTGTGTAACCATTTTATGGAGTAAATGCAGGTATCTGTCCTTGAATCCACGCTTTTGAAGTTTTTTTCTAGACGATCAATCATTAAAAACACAACAAATAATATCAGAGGTTGGCAATTTTTAAGACACGACATTAAAGTTATGAATGATCACCTATATTAATAATAATGGTCTTTGAGGCCTAAACTGAATGAATACGAAAATCATGGCTCTAAATCAGAAGTGGCACAAAGTACAGGTAAAGGTGTGGCCATATGAAAAGTGAAGTGCAGTAAATACATGAGTGTGATACAAAGTAGATGTACAGTAGATTACTGTGAGACTATACTTTACTTTCAGCAATGGCCAGTCAGTGTGCCTGGAATGGAGACTGCTTATGGAGAGTTCTATGAGCAGAGCACCAAGCTGGCACTCCGGATCCTTGACGTCATATCGCTTTGTATTGGGTTGTCGGTAGGTTTGACCCTTAGGAGATTAATGGCTTGTGTCCTATGGCTGTGTATTGGGCTGTCCTAGTGGCTTTTTGTCACATCTCTGTGTATTGGGTTAGAATAGGTCTTCAGTAACCCATGCTTGCCGTAAGAGGCGACTATGCTTGTTGTAAGAGGCGACTAACGGAAACGGCTGACTTGATTGATGCATGTCATCTTATACCAATTGCCTTGATCGCTGCTCATGATGTGAATGACTTGGGTGTCTGGTCTAGACTCGATTATTAACAGTTGCCTTCATATAGCTAGACAAGCAACAAGCAAACCAACCAACCTTATCACCCACCCTATTGTTACTTTTCTTGGTGATGAGTTGAGCTAATACGGTGAGCTAAAGCAACGTATATGCAATCTCTTTACAGGATAGGAATTTCCTCCGTAATTGTCACCAAAGCTTTGGAAGCAAGAAGAGCCCCGGTACCCTAAGAAGCCTATACTATCCTATTCTACCTGCGGGGGCCTGTATGTATGGAATGTTCAATTAGATAATGCGTTGTCTTGTTACACAGTAGTATAGATGATGGGGGTACTGGACAACACCTAGGCCTTGAAAGTGCTTACATGGTGCATTTTCAGGGTCTAGGTCTGGTCCAGGTGGGGTTGCCCAGCACCTACGTCATCTATATTACTTACGCTGAGGAAGCGGGTTCCCTTCCCCATGTGAAATGAACCTTGAATGTGTCTCCACATGTGTGTATTATTTCAGAAATAAATGAAGAGTTTGAGATTATTACAATAAAAAAAAACTGCAGGGAGAATAAACGATGAAGGGCGCTGTCGTTTATGTCTTATATGAGATATCAACATTATGTACAGCCTCTCTAAGGATGTTGATACAATGTTTAAGCTTTAAAAACATTTACCCAAATCATAATAATGTTGACTCGCTGAATAGAATCTCGGAAATGTCGGACAAGTCCATTTTATGAACAGGTGGGTTAAGTTTGGCATTTACCGGATATTTTCACCATCTTTATTATCTGTACCTTTTCTCCAAATACGGATTGTCATATCTCTCCCACTTTCTGATGCGAGAAATTGCTGTTTATGATAAAACATTTTCGAGAGAATAACAAACGGCAAGAAGCGATATTAACTCCATAAATGACCATCCGTCATTATGTTGCCTTGTCAATGTGGAACTAACGTAAAAACGACGTCACCAGTTTGTGTACCGTCTCTAACGGTAAAAGGAGAAAAATTGAGGGGAGGTAACTGTTGTATGACAACAGTTCCGTCAAAGTGTTATCTTCACTGCAGTGAAATATCAAGTGTTGTGTTCACTGCAGTGAGCTACCAAATGTTATGTTCACTGCAATGAAAATATCACTTTTCTCAACTTCAGAATACTCAGTCTTTCACTCTGAAGTGTATCATAAATCACGCTTCGTTCTTACTTGTTGTTTGTGACTTATTGCGTATCTATCTGTATGTGTCTATTCTTAACTTCAGCTGTAAAGCCTGGTCAGTTGAGGTGTGGCGAACACAGCGACTACGGGACTGTAACCCTCCTATTTCAGGACCAGTGTGGTGGGCTGGAGGTGTGTATTGTGCGAGTATGTAGTTGATGGTGGTGATCACATGTCATGATGCCTCAATCAAACTGTTTATAATAATCAGCACTTACACACAGGCACTGCTTTCTTGGTCTTTAAAGTGTCATGGTTACGGTCCATACTGTCATGGTTACAGTCTACAGTGTTATGGTTACAGTCTACCCTGTCATGATTACAGTCTACAGTGTTATGGTTACAGTCCACCCTGTCATGATTACAGTCTACAGTGTTATGGTTACAGTCCACCCTGTCATGATTACAGTCTACAGTGTTTGGTTACAGTCTACAGTGTTATAGTTACAATCCACACTGTCGTGGTTACAGTCCACCCTCTCATGATTACAGTCTACAGTGTTATGGCTACAGTCTACAGTGTTATCGTTACAATCCACACTGTCGTGGTTACAGTCCACACTGTCATGATTACAGTCTACACTGTCATGGGTACAGTCTACAGCGTTGTGGTTACAGTCTACAGTGTCATGGTTACAGTCTAATGCGTTATTGTTACAGTCTACAGTGTTATGGTTACAGTCTACAGTGTTATGGTAACAGTCTACAGTGTTATAGTTACAATCCACACTGTCGTGGTTACAGTCCACACTGTCATGGTTACGGTCTACAGTGTTATGGTTATGGTCAACACTGTCATGGTTGCGGTCCACTCTGTCATGGTTACAGTCCACACTGTCATGGTTATGGTCCATTCTGTCATGGTTACGGTCCACCCTGTCATGGTTACGGTCTACAGTGTTATGGTTACGGTCTATAGTGTTATGGTTACAGTCTACAGTGTTATAGTTACAATCCACACTGTCGTGGTTACAGTCTACACTGTCATGGTTACGGTCTACAGTGTTATGGTTACGGTCCACACTGTCATGGTTATGGTCCACTCTGTCATGGTTACGGTCTAGAGTGTTATGGTTACAGTCTACAGTGTTATAGTTACAATCCACACTGTCGTGGTTACAGTCCATACTGTCATGGTTACGTTCTACAGTGTTATGGTTATGGTCCACACTGTCATGGTTATGGTCCACTCCGTCATGGTTACGGTCCACCCTGTCATGGTTACAGTCTACAGTGTTATGGTTACGGTCTACACTGTCATGGTTACAGTCTACAGTGTTATGGTAACGGTCCACCCTGTCATGATTACAGTCTACAGTGTCATGGTTACAGTCTACAGTGTTATGGTTACGGTCTACACTGTCATGGTTACGGTCTACACTGTTAGATCCTACTCAAACTGTTTCTATTCACAGATTGTTTCACCAATTGGAGAGTTCATGCCAGTCATTCCAATTGAAGGCACTATAGTCGTCAATATTGGAGACCTCATGCAGAGATGGACCGCCGACAAACTAAAAGCTACGGTATGTTATGAATAAATTTGGTTGTAACATGTTTTACATGTTTAATTTCTAGTACCATAAATTGTCCAATCTACCCACGTTAGCCAGTTAATATGTACAGAAAACCACGTCCACCTTGTCAGGCATATTTATAGCTTCCGACCGACTTCCATAAAACTGCTGTGTCTGTTGAGGGACATAATCAACTTAAAGCATATGCTAATACGTACTGTCTGGTGCTTTGCATTCTAGAAAAAAACGTTCAACTTTATGGATAAAAAACCTCTTGTTTATTGCATATAGCAACGTTTCAATGTATACGTTATTATGAAGCTGGAGTGACAACAACCAAGTGATGAGAGGTATATATGTATGATATGTTGGGATAAGCAGCAGATTAAATTGACAACAAGATAATAGATAACAAGTAGAATACAGGTGATTGGATGAAGCCAGATGTACAGTAAGGATAACAAATAGCACACGGGTAATGAAGCCAGATGTCCAGTAAGGATAACAAATAGCACACGGGTAATGAAGCCAGATGTCCAGTAAGGATAACAAATAGCACACGGGTAATGAAGCCAGATGTACAGTAAGGATAACAAATAGCACACGGGTAATGAAGCTAGATGTACAGTAAGGATAACAAATAGCACACAGGTTACGAAGCAAGATGAACAGTAAGAATAACAAATAGCACACAGGTGATGAAGCCAGATGTACAGGAAGGATAACAAATAGCACACAGGTAATGAAGCCAGATGTACAGTAAGGATGACAAATAGCACAGGGGTAATGAAGCCAGATGTACAGTAAGAATAACAAATAGCACACAGGTTACGAAGCAAGATGAACAGTAAGGTTAACAAATAGCACAGGGGTAATGAAGCCAGATGTACAGTAAGGATAACAAATAGCACACGGGTAATGAAGCTAGATGTACAGTAAGGATAACAAATAGCACACAGGTTACGAAGCAAGATGAACAGTAAGAATAACAAATAGCACACAGGTGATGAAGCCAGATGTACAGTAAGGATAACAAATAGCACACGGGTAACAAAGCTAGATGTACAGTAAGGATAACAAATAGCACACAGGTGATGAAGCCAGATGTACAGGAAGGATAACAAATAGCACACAGGTAATGAAGCCAGATGTACAGTAAGGATGACAAATAGCACAGGGGTAATGAAGCCAGATGTACAGTAAGAATAACAAATAGCACACAGGTTACGAAGCAAGATGAACAGTAAGGTTAACAAATAGCACAGGGGTAATGAAGCCAGATGTACAGTAAGGATAACAAATAGCACACGGGTAATGAAGCTAGATGTACAGTAAGGATAACAAATAGCACACAGGTTACGAAGCAAGATGAACAGTAAGAATAACAAATAGCACACAGGTGATGAAGCCAGATGTACAGTAAGGATAACAAATAGCACACGGGTAACAAAGCTAGATGTACAGTAAGGATAACAAATAGCACACAGGTTACGAAGCAAGATGAACAGTAAGGTTAACAAATAGCACAGGGGTAATGAAGCCAGGTGTACAGTAAGGATAACAAATAGCACAGGGGTAATGAAGCCAGATGTCCAGTAAGGATAACAAATAGCACACGGGTAATGAAGCCATATGTACAGTAAGGATCAATAATAGCACACAGGTTACGAAGCAAGATGTACAGTAAGGATAACAAATAGCACACGGGTAATGAAGCCACATGTACAGTAAGGATAACAAATAGCACATTGGTAATGAAGCCAGATGTACAGTAAGAATAACAAATAGCACACAGGTTACGAAGCAAGATGAACAGTAAGGATAACAAATAGGAAACAGGTGATCAAGCCAGATGTACAGTAAGGATAACAAATAGCATACAGGTAGTGAAGCCAGATGTACAGTAAAGATAACAAATAGCAAACAGGTTACGAAGCAAGATGAACAGTAAGGATAACAAATAGCATACGGGTAATGAAGCCACATGTACAGTAAGGATAACAAATAGCACACAGATAGCCAGATGTACAGTAAGGATAACAAACAGCACACAGTTGATGAAGCTAGATGTACAGTAAGAATAACATATAACACACAGTTGATGAAGCTAGATGTACAGTAAGGATAACAAACAGGTAATGAAGCCAGATGTACAGTAAGGATAACAAACAGCACACAGTTGATGAAGCTAGATGTACAGTAAGGATAACAAACAGCACACAGTTGATGAAGCTAGATGTACAGTAAGGATAACAAACAGGTAATGAAGTCAGATGTACAGTAAGGATAACAAATAGCACACAGTTAATGAAGCCAGATGTACAGTAAGGATAACAAATAGCACACAGTTGATGAAGCTAGATGTACAGTAAGGATAACAAACAGGTAATGAAGTCAGATGTACAGTAAGGATAACAAACAGCACACAGTTGATGAAGCTAGATGTACAGTAAGGATAACAAATAGCACACAGTTGATGAAGCTAGATGTACAGTAAGGATAACAAACAGGTGATGAAGGCAGATGTACAGTAAGAATAACAAATAGCACACAGGTTACGAAGCAAGATGAACAGTAAGGATAACAAATAGCACACGGGTAATGAAGCCACATGTACAGTAAGGATAACAAATAGCACACAGTTGATGAAGCTAGATGTACAGTAAGGATAACAAACAGGTGATGAAGGCAGACGTACAGTAAGAATAACAAATAGCACACAGGTTACGAAGCAAGATGAACAGTAAGGATAACAAATAGCACACGGGTAATGAAGCCACATGTACAGTAAGGATAACTAATAGCACACAGTTGATGAAGCTAGATGTACAGTAAGGATAACAAATAGCACACAGGTAATGAAGCCACATGTACAGTAAGGATAACAAATAGCACACAGTTGATGAAGCTAGATGTACAGTAAGGATAACAAATAGCAAACAGGTGATGAAGCCAGATGTACAGTAAGGATAACAAATAGCACACAGGTAATGAAGGCAGATGTACAGTAAGGATAACAAATAGCACACAGTTGATGAAGCAAGATGAACAGTAAGGATAACAAATAGCCCACGGGTAATGAAGCCACATGTACAGTAAGGATAACAAATAGCACACAGTTGATGAAGCTAGATGTACAGTAAGGATAACAAATAGCAAACAGGTGATGAAGCCAGATGTACAGTAAGGATAACAAATAGTACACAGGTAATGAAGCCAGATGTACAGTAAGAATAACAAATATCACACAGGTGATGAAGCCAGATGTACAGTAAGAATAACAAATAGCACACAGGTGATGAAGCCAGATGTACAGTAAGAATAACAAATAGCACACAGGTTACGAAGCAAGATCAACAGTAAGTATAACAAATAGCTCACGGGTAATGCAGCCAGATGTACAGTAAGAATAACAAATAGCACACGGGAAATGAAGCCAAATGTACAGTAAGGATAACAAATAGCACACAGTTGATGAAGCTAGATGTACAGTAAGGATAACAAATAGCAAACAGGTGATGAAGCCAGATGTACAGTTAGAATAACAAATAGCACACAGTTGATGAAGCTAGATGTACAGTAAGGATAACAAATAGCACACAGGTGATGAAGCACACAGGTAATGAAGCCAGATGTACAATAAGATTAAGATATAGCCCATGGTAATGAAGCACAGGGGTAATGAAGCCAAATGTACAGTAAAAATAACAAATAGCACACAGGTGATGAAGCAAAGGGGTAATGAAGCCAAATGTACAGTTAGGATAACAAATATCAAACAGGTGATGAAGCCAGATGTACAGTAAGAATAACAAATAGCACACAGGTGATGAAGCACATGGGTAGTGAAGCCAGATGTACAGTAAGGATAACAAATAGCACACAGGTAGTGAAGCCAGATGTACAGTAAGGATAACAAATAACACACGGGTGATGAAGCCAAATGTACAGTAAAAATAACAAATAGCACACAGATGATGAAGCAAAGGGGTAATGAAGCCAAATGTACAGTTAGGATAACAAATATCACACAGGTGATGAAGCCAGATGTACAGTAAGAATAACAAATAGCACACAGGTGATGAAGCACATGGGTAGTGAAGCCAGATGTACAGTAAGGATAACAAATAGCACACAGGTAATGAAGCCAGATGTACAGTAAGGATAACAAATAGCACACAGTTGATGAAGCTAGATGTACAGTAAGGATAACAAATAGCAAACAGGTGATGAAGCCAGATGTACAGTAAGGATAACAAATAGTACACAGGTAATGAAGCCAGATGTACAGTAAGAATAACAAATATCACACAGGTGATGAAGCCAGATGTACAGTAAGAATAACAAATAGCACACAGGTTACGAAGCAAGATGAACAGTAAGTATAACAAATAGCACACGGGTAATGAAGCCAGATGTACAGTAAGAATAACAAATAGCACACGGGAAATGAAGCCACATGTACAGTAAGGATAACAAATAGCACACAGTTGATGAAGCTAGATGTACAGTAAGGATAACAAATAGCAAACAGGTGATGAAGCCAGATGTACAGTTAGAATAACAAATAGCACACAGTTGATGAAGCTAGATGTACAGTAAGGATAACAAATAGCACACAGGTGATGAAGCACACAGGTAATGAAGCCAGATGTACAATAAGATTAACATATAGCCCATGGTAATGAAGCACAGGGGTAATGAAGCCAAATGTACAGTAAAAATAACAAATAGCACACAGGTGATGAAGCAAAGGGGTAATGAAGCCAAATGTACAGTTAGGATAACAAATATCACACAGGTGATGAAGCCAGATGTACAGTAAGAATAACAAATAGCACACAGGTGATGAAGCACATGGGTAGTGAAGCCAGATGTACAGTAAGGATAACAAATAGCACACAGGTAATGAAGCCACATGTACAGTAAGGATAACAAATAGCACACAGTTGATGAAGCTAGATGTACAGTAAGGATAACAAATAGCACACAGGTGATGAAGCACAGGGGTAGTGAAGCCAGATGTACTGTAAGGATAACAAATAGCACATGGTAATGAAGCACATGGGTAATGAAGCCAGATGTACAGTATGGATAACAAATAGTACATGGTAATGAAGCACACGGGTAATGAAGCCAGATGTACAGTATGAATAAAAAATAGCTCACAGGTGATGAAGCCAGATGTACAGTAAGGATAACAAATAGCACACAGGTAGTGAAGCCAGATGTACAGTAAGGATAACAAATAACACACGGGTGATGAAGCCAGATGTACAGTAAGGATAACAAATAGTACACAGGTAGTGAAGCCAGATGTACAGTAAGAATAACAAATAACACACAGGTGATGAAGCCAGATGTACAGTAAGGATAACAAATAGCACACAGGTAGTGAAGCACACAGGTAATGAAGCCAGATGTACAGTAAGGATAACAAATAGCACACGGGTGATGAAGCACACGGGTAGTGAAGCCAGATGTACGGTAAGGATAACAAATAGCACACAGGTGATGAAGCCAGATGTACAGTAAGGATAACAAATAGCACACAGGTGATGAAGCACAGGGGTTATGAAGCTAGATGTACAGTAAGGATAAGGATAACATGATTAAGAGGATTAAACAGCAGTAACAAACTAATTGGATCCTAATTGAAACAGTCTATTGCTTTATTAGATCCCCACAAGCAGACTGTACACACTGCATATGTAAACTGCATACCACAATTGTCTCATGTCACCAGGTCCACCGAGTGATCATCCCACACCACGAGAAGATGAAGGCTTGTTGTCGACAGTCTGTTGCCCTGTTTGTGGATCCTGACGATGAGGTTGTTATTGAGTGTCTGGATGGGTCCAACAAATATAAACCCGTCACGTCCCGTGACTATGTCGGCGGAAGACTACGAGCCACATACCAGCCTGCCTGATCTTACAGTCAATCCTTTACGAAGCCGACCTTTGCTCTCTCAGAGTGGATTACTAATGTACCCGTTTTCTTGATGTTTCCACAAATTGTAATCGTCTGTATGTAGCGAAATAGCAGGGACTAACCTGTTGAAGGCTATATGCTTACTAACACAAGTTTGTTTGCGTGTGTTTGCGACTGTTGCTTGAGTCAGTTTGGTTTCACGCCGCTTTTAGTAATATTTACAGCAGCATTACGGCGGGGGACACCAGAAACGGGCTTCACACATTGTACACATGTAGGGAATCGAACCCGGGTCTTCGGCTACTCCACCGTCGTACGATCGCGACAATATCATAAGCATGTGTTTATGAATCACAATGGTGATGATACCAAGTGTTTGCGAAAAGGTGAGGGAGTCCTCCGAACAAACACATGCAAAGGCAAGTGAAGCGTTCACCCGAACAACCACAGGAACATATGGTACATAGAGATTACTAGACGAGTGTCTGTCAGATACCATTTATCTTACAATGAGTTGTTTCAAAACGTATATAACGCGCGAAATACGCTTTAAACAACGAGTTGTAAGATAAATGGTATCTGACAGGCACGAGTGCAGTAATCTGTTTCTTACACACCCTAAAATCGCATCTCTTTAGCATCCAATCGATGCATTTTGTCTATTCTCATGATCGCACTGGCGCATTAATGCATAACACAATGAGTGTCGTCATCCGATGTACTGCTTACTATTCATTAATAATGTGACCCTACACCTTAACCTAAAAACGTTTCGGCGAACTGGTGATTATAATGATGATGATGATAATGCAAACTGATAAGATCAAAGAACCTGAATGGTGCCGTCATGACTAACGTCTTCCGACGTACTGCTTACTATTCATTAAAAATGTGACCCTACACCTAAACCTAAAAAACGTTTCGGCGAACTGGTGGTTATAATGTAACCAAGAGAATTAGTCAGAAATGCAGATAACTACCGCCGTCGTTGTGCGTGACTTTCCGTCAATCATGGCGTCACTCAGGGCGGAAACTTTTACGATTTCTGTTGAATTTACTTGATCATTGTGTTGTTGATATGTGTAATTCCATAATACTCTTCCCATGAATAGTCTCAAACGCGTGAGCCATTGGATGCAATATTAGACGAATGGATAGCTTTAATAGGAGAAAATACTACACAGTGTAAAATCTGAATTTGTTTTTATATTTCAACAAGTACACTGTTCGTCAATAAGTACCGTGTTCGTCTACACCCCTCATTTATTTCGTTTAGTTTCATCTAAATAATTTGTATTGGTGACAAAGACCATTTGTCATTTGGTTCTAACATGTATGAGGAATTCAGGGAAATATACGTGATCTAATACGGGACTCTCAATAATAATCGGCACTTGAAACGTGATTGTGTAAACACTATCCAATATGGCGGAACGTTCGGCGTATTTTTCCTAAATATTCTAAACAATTCTAGGCGACGTTTCAAAATTACCATTAGTGAGTAAATGACAAACACATACCCATGATCACTAATAATCTATTTTTAAAATTCAATTCTTCGAGTTAATATCCGATGTTTAGTTTTTTGAAACACAGAGTAAATAACGCCATGAATGGTGATTTAGTTATGTGTAAAAAAATGCCGAGATTTACTATGTACTGAATTTTCGTGGGTCACTTTCAGATTTTTTGCTTTGCCTAAAAAGACATTGAATTATATCACAGAAGAGGGTATTTCCCACCAAATTCAAAACAGTGAATTGTATCAGTGTTCGTAGTTTATTTTGAATCTTATTCGACTTCGAAGTGAGAGTTGAAGAGAAGGGACATTTAAATGTATGTGACATCAAGGGGGTGCTCTAAAATGAGCATCGATCCACGAAATTGGGATCGATGACATGCATCAACCAAGTCAGCGAGCCTGACCACCCGATCCCGTTAGTCGCCTTTTACGACAAGCATAGTCACCTTTTACGGCAAGCATGGGTTGCGAAGACCTATTCTACCCCGGAATCTTCACGGGTCCCCAAAGACATGTAAATACAATAAAATAAGTTATGAAATGAAATGTGAGTTAAACAACCGTAGTTTATGAAAACTTAATGTTATTACCAGAAGCATTGGTTACAACACCCACCCAGCAGCATGATTATGGAAAAGATTGTGTTGCTTTCGTTAAAACCAACCAAAACAATATTCCGTGTGAACGTAGCTGCTAACGATATACATGTTTACCGTACAAATTTAGAAAAGACAAATCCCACTGTTTGGGGGTTAAAGCGTTCGTCCTTCTCACCGAAGGCCTGGTTTCGACTCCTCACATGGGTGCGCTGTGTGAAGACCGTTCCTGGTGTCCCCCGTCTGGATATTGCTAGAATATCTGTCAAAGCGGCGTAAAACTCACTCACTCAAATCTACAGGTAACTCATACTGAAAACAATGTGATTAAGTAACAAGAGCACTTTTATTCGTTTTTCATAATTTGGTTAAACATTTTGCACATTGTGTTGCCTGTTATATGGCGTTTATGTTCCCTGTGCTGTTGTTGTAGTAATAGCTGGTGATTTGACGTCCGTGTGTGGTATATGTTCATATATTGCACAGGTGTTGCAACAGTGTTATTCTGTCAGGTAAGGGGTTGTGGTGGCACTCACTACCTTCACTCGTCTTATATGGTTGGTTTTTAGGATTGGTGTAAATTCTAGTTGGTGTAAATGTGACGCTTCAACGCCGCCTGTGCTATTGCTACACTGAGAAAAAAGTTTAGTTAATTCTACTAACTTAATTAGCAACAGCAGTCAGAAGGGTTGGTTAGTTGGTTGATTTGTTGTTAAATGCCGCACTCAGCAATATTCCAGCTATATGACGGCGGTCTGTAAATAATCGAGTCTGGACCAGACAATCCAGTGATAAATATCGTGAGCATCGATCCGCGCAATTGAGATCGATGACATGCATCAACCAAGTCAGCGAGCCTGACCACCCGATCCCGTTAGTCGCCTTGTACGACAAGCATAGTCACCTTTTACGGCAAGCATGGGTTGCTGAAGACCGATTCTATCCCGGAATCTTCACGGGTCAAGTCAGAAAGGGTTAGTAAAACTAAATTGTCAATGCAAGAGAATGACCATCCTAGATGTTCTGTCGAAATAGAGATCCGCTTGGCGTAAAAGGTAATGGCATGTGGGAATTATATGAATGGATCGAAAATCAGTGATGACACCAGGTGTTCGCTAAAAGGTAGCACCCGGCCTTCATACAATTTGCATAAAACAATTTATTGGCTGACGCCGCACAGCCTTACTCATGCAATGTAAGCCTGTAAACAAACCAGACAATCAAGTGCTTCATGAACCACAACACCAAGTGACACGAGAGTACCATTACTGATTTTCTTGAAACTAATAAAAACGGTAGAACAACGAATTTACTTTCCTGCTGGTAGATTGCACGCGGCGTCAAGACCACGTGACATTGCTCTCTTCCGCCTTTGTCACTGTCACGCTCGCCATTTTGAGTAAACAAGGAGATAATTGCGAGTGAGAGTGTTCGGTATATCTTGGCTTTGTAACCGTGTTAAAGTATATTTGTCATGACAAAATTTAGAACTTCACAGCATGCACACAATGAAAGGAGATTTGTTACGTGTGCCAGTGTGAAAGGATATTTGCTTATGTCAATTACGTTTTCGCAGTATTGTGTTTATAAACTTAAAATGCCTCTGAAAATCATTATGTTATCTTTCCACTGTATTGTATATCTCATTTGTTATTCACTTGTTTTTTTTGCAAGTTCAGAAGCTGTCAAACGGAATCGCAAAATGATCAAAACATGAGTTGTTAAACTTACCAGTTTAGTACATATATTATTGCAGTTAGTAAATCACGAGAAGAAGATTCTTTGAAATATGTAAAGTAATCTGTTCTAGCTGATTTGTAAATGTATTAATCTACGATAGGCTACCTACTAGTCTACTTAGCAAATATCTACCACCTGGGTACTAACATCTCTTAACAGTGTAATGTATGACTGGACACTGAAATACATTTACTACTTTTGTCATTGTAATACATGGATATCGTCAACAAACGCAGGACGCCTGTGCTATTGCTTATGCATGGAGATGGAATTTGGGCACAAGCCTTCTACCCTAAAAATATTGATTTCAATTGTCGTTATCGCCAAAACTGTTCATGTTTGAAGTGGAGTGACAAAACATTTTCAATCCAAAGATCCATCTCAAAACGACAACGACAAGTCAACGTTAGAGATTATGATGCTATAATATGTACCATCTAACCACCAACCGAAACACCTTTAAGCAAGCAATACTATTTTATTGATCGCACTGAACTATGATAAATTCCTACACCTCTTCACAATGACTATTGCTGACATCTATCTTCCGGGTATACCCTGGCAACAAACCATAGTAGTGTGTAAAGGGTCTCTGTTGCATGCGGTTGTGTAGCTGATGTTAAGTAATACAGTGTACACATGGGGAGAAAATCAATACACTTATATTGAACTGAGATTAATTAAAGGCGCAATACAAACAGATATTTTAGTATACTCTAGAAACTAGTTCTTAGATTATGTATGTTTAATTTTTTTGGACATGTTGTACACGACACTAGACTTAAAATGTAGTCAAAGACTTTATGGCATTCTTGCTCAAAATCATTCCTATCAAATCAGAAACACTCAACAACATTTCAACGTGTGGGCGGGAAGCAACAGACGGTGAGTAGGGGTGCGCGACACAAGCTGTCAATGGGCAGGTGCGAGAACCCCAAACGATCAAGGACAAAATAACAATCCATTTTATCACATTTTCAAATTCTACACTAGGTGATTTACAGTTTGAGGGCGGAAATCAAAGCATTCGATCCACTTTCATTTTTGTGGCAGCCTCGGTGGCCGAGTGGGTTAGATCGCTGACTTTGTGTGCTGGCGATTAGGTGCCTCACTCTTGCAGTGTGGGTTCGAATCCCGGGCGGGACT